ATAATAATACCCCGCCCAGATATTTAAAAATAAACAGCTGATGGTATTTAGGATGTTGTGGATTGTTGCGGCAGCCAGTTTCCTGCTCGCGGGGAGTTTCTCATTTTGTTTGTTGCCTGTGTTGTTCTGCAGTTTTTCTGCCCTAGCGACCTATTTGCTATATTACAGCTGTTTGACGTGCGCATGCAGATCGTGCACGTCACCGCCAACAATCTGGGTCAGCTGATGCTGCCTTGTGTGTACGTGGAAGCTGCTTTTGTTGTTGAGTGCTTCAAAACTAATTGATAGGTTTGCGATTCATTGAGTTGCCCGCGAGACCATCAAAAGCTGGTTTAAAGTTCAGTTTCAGTGCTAATATTTGAAATATTGTGGACTTTATGTCAGTTACTCACATCATTCTAACATGATCAGTCTTTTGTAAGTGGAGTAGTCGCCTTGTTTGCATAATTTTGCTGTTTTTTTTCCCCCCTTAATCCTTTTCTGATTCCATAGTGCTCAGAATGCTGTTGATGCATAAAAGGTTTACCTTCACCCTTTTTTGAATTGTGCAAATTCTGCAATTTATGCACCATCAAAGTTCCACAGTGCGATGAAGAAGTAGTGTCTGTGGCATGTATGCTACCCTCTGCATTGTATCTTGAGAGGAAAAAAAACGAGGTTAAAATGCTGACCTCTGGCGTGTAGTTTTTCGCTCATGGTGTCAAATCAAAAACTGCCTTCAACACTTAAACCTCAGTCACNATTAGATAAAACCGTAAACTGTGCTACCTTAAAAAGAGCAATAACAGAGCATCAAATAAGGAATAAAAAGTTCTAATATAATCTTGACCTGAAGCGCTGACTGAGCTTGTTCCACAGTGCTGGAGCTAAAACGATAAAATCAGGACGGCCCTTAGTTTTCAGCCTGGACCGTGGGATGTTTAACAGCAGCTGGTTTTCAGACCTAACGGTTCACAGTGAAGCATATGGTGGCAAAAGTTCAGATATGAATGTGACTGAATTAATAAGTTTAGCAGCTCTAATGTGCAGCTTTAGAAATAAGTGGCTGCATTGATCAATAAGATAAAAATATATTAGGCTACATCATTAACAATTTTCTGCTAACATTCCGTTCTTGCGTCATTTGCAGCAGTGGCGCTTTTTACAGTGATCTTTTTTTTTTTACATGCTTCATAGCTCTTCATTATAACAACTTGTTCTTCTTGATTATCATTTTGCCTGAAGAGTAACCACATGATGCATTAAACATCATTATATGCATTAGTTCTGACTGAGGGTTTAGGCTGCT